TTAATTATCTGAAGTTTGTAGAACACAAGAATAAATGTATAAATGGAAGCAGGATGAAAGATCAGGTAAAAAAAAATCATGTAAGGAATTAAAACCGTTACTAAATTAGACCAAAACCAGATATAATTAAATTTGTTTATAATACGATTATTTGTTTTACTTTAACCTAAATTCCTTTAGGGTGTAGGTTTTAAAAGTTATAGATAATCAGTACCATGCAATACAGTTCAAATTCTGGTTTGAATAGTCTCAACACAAAACACAGTTTTAGTACAGAATTTAATCAATTTAGATGTACAAATAGTCATTTGTTAATACATAACTTGAATATTGCTGAAAAAAGACACATTGGTCAAAGTTTTCTGTCTTCCACTCATCGTGACGATTCACAAGAATACCAATTCAATGGGAAAAACCAACATTTACACTGCATGAGAGAAGAATTCTGATTGGTTGTCTAGTGGGTTCTGATTGGTAGAGAGTTTACCATAGAGAATGTACCAGTTAATGATGATTGGCAGTTAACTATCAGGATTCATTTAAATTTTAATGATTGGTCAAGAAATTTACTGAAGGCATCATGAATGGTGCTGAACATTGTGCAATCATCTGTGAACATTCCACTTCTGGGCTCATGATGGAGGGCACTTTAGTATGCCCTATTTCAGTATCAAATTTGCTAGGTGAACAAATGGCTCAGGCTGTATTTACAAGGTTGCCAATAAGGCTAGTCAGCTAGCATGTGAAACAGTGGGAATCCCAATGTGTGCTGACCAGTGAAGATACATTTGTGGTAAGTAGAAGTAGAGAGCTCCTTGGCTGAATACATCTGTCAACCAATCAGCATTCTCCTCTCATGCAGTATAAATGTTCGTTTTCCCCTTGATATGCTATTCTTGAGAATTATTTTGACGAGTGCAAGATAAATACCTTGAAACAATATGCTGTTTTCCAGCAGTACTCAAACTCAGACGTGAGCCAAATTTGGAGATATTAGGGTAGATGACAAAAGCTAGACAAAGAAATTGTTTTTTAGGGATACTTTAAAGGAGAAAGACATGCAGAAAGAAGAAGAAATTTAGGGAAGGAATTCTTGAGCTTTGGGTAGCCAGTGTAAATCATTAAGTACCAAGGTGATTAGTGAACACAAGTTAGAATATGGTCAGAAGAGTTCTGGGTTACTCCAAGTTTATGAAAGGTAGAAGGTGGGTTGACTGCAGGCAGTGTCGAATCTAGAGATAACGTGCAGCAATCGTCTGTGCAGTTAAATACAACCATTAGCAAATTTCTCTGAGTTGCCCTGCTCTCCAAAAGCTTTGTTATCACAGTAGCTCACTGATTTATCATAGAAACATGTGAACTTGCTGTATTTAACAACTAGATACTGGCACTGAAACTTATCTTTTTATAAACGTATACATAAGTATGAACAAAGATTAGACCTAGGCTATTGAAAACTATGAGAAATAGAAACAAGAGTAGGCCGTTAGGTCCCTTGAGCCTGCTCCGTCATTCAATAGGATCATGTATGATCTGACATTCCTCATGTCCACTGTTCTGTGTTTTTCCCTTACCCTTGATTCCCCTACTGATCAAAAATCTAACTATCTCAGCCTTAAGTAATATTTGGTTCCTTAAGCCTATTCTGCTATTTAATCAGATCTTTGCTGAAGAGGAAACATCCTCTCCTGTTCAGATCCCTCAAGATCTAATATTTTTTCAATCAAGTTGCCTGTTTCTCTTCTGAGCTCCAGCAGATACAAGCTTACCCTGTCCACCCTTCCATCAAAAGATGTATATAAGATATCATCCATTACCAGGAAAATTGTTTATGGTGTTGGAAAGATGTTCTGACAATGGAGGCAGTGCAATGATGAGTCACCGGACTGATTCCTGGGATGGCAGGACTGCATACAGGACTACATTCGCTGGAGTTTAAAAGAATGATGTGGGTTCTCATAGAAACCTATAGAATTCTAATAGGACACCTGTCATCCCTAAATCCTCTTCATCAACCCCCTCCATGGCACCTTCCAATGCAATCGCAGAAGGTGTAACATTTCCCATTTTAGTCTTCTCTCTCCCCACTGTCCAAACGCCCAAATAGATCTTCCATGTGAAGCAGTGATTTACTTGTAATACTTTCAATCTAGTGTACTGTATCAGCTGCATATTGGCCTTCTCTACATTGGTGAGGCCAAATGCAGACTGGGTGACTGCTTTGTGGAAAACCTACACTCTGTCCGTAAGACTGAGTAGATAGAAGTTTCTAGAGGAAGTGGTAGAGGCAAATAAAATTAAAACATTAAAAAAAATTGGACAGGTACATAGATAGAGAAGGTTTAGAAGGGTACGTGTGCCAAACGCAGGCGAATAGGATCAGCTCAGTTTTGGAAACCTGGTCAGCATGGACGAGTTGGATCGAAGCACCTGTTTCCATGCTGTATGGCTCTCTGACTCTGACTGACCTAGACCATGGAGTTACTTCCTGTTTCAATACAGCATCTTACTCTAATGCTAACATTTCTATCCAGGGCCTGCTGCAAAGGTGCAGTGAAGCACAATGCAAGCCAGCGAAACAGCACCTCATTTTCTACTTATGCATTTTACAGCCTTCATTATTGAGTTCAGCAACTTCAGTCCATGAATACTGTCCTCTGTTTTGATTATAACTCCCCCACCCCATGGTGTAAAGATTGTACCTTTTTATTTTTCTGTACTTTTGTTTGTGGACTGAAATAGGAAAAGCATTGTTTCAAAATTAGGAATTGCTACGTTTTTTTAAAAGCAAGTTAATGAAACTCAGTGAAACTTGAAACTCAATGAAACTCAGAAATCTTGTTTACACCGCTGTTTTATTCAAGTAGTGGGAAAAGCTGTCTGTAGATGGGCCGACCCCAGGGGTGTGTACCAAATGAGATTCAGCTGGCAATGGTTGTTAATTGGAGTAGTGACCAGTTGCAGATGCCAGAGGCTATCAGCCTGACAACAACTATATGATTTGCACCTGGGTAACTGAATAGCTTGCAGGTGTAAACAATACGAGCAGAAGCCTTTGGATGGCTACTAAGACGGATAGTTTGTCTTTCTGTCCAGAAAACACCTAAAGTTTGAATAGAGCCAATTATTTTTGCCTCACAAGTTGCTGTAAACTGGCCTTTACCCAGTAAGAGAGTTTGCATTTAGTGTACCAATTGCCTGTGCCCCCTGTGAAGAAGTGAAAAGAACATGGAGGAGAGATTGAAGAACAGAAAATCATGCCAAATAAAAGGATCATCTTAGTGAACTCTGTGGGCTGGGGTTATTTAACTGCTTTCTCAGTTGTTTCCTCCACCTACAATACTAACATTTCTTTTGTCTGTTTTTCTGTGTGTACATGTCAGGGGATTTTATAATGTCAACTAACAGAATTATATGTTGACAATTCATAGTTGTTTGTCTGTGGTTAAGGTCTATATATTTGGAATAAAAAATACTTCTTGTTAACCACAGAAGCCCTGGTCCATGTTTTCTGTTAGTTTGGGTTTATCCAGCAGGTAAATTGGGTCTCTGTGTATTCTGGTCAAGTTTTTAATTTTTGTGACAATTTGGGGAATAGCAGGACATGATTTCCAGTGTACTAACTGTTTGCTTTCAGTAGAACTGACCAATTTTCTGCTCTTAACACCTATTTGTCATCTATGATGATCCTGTAATATCTTTTGAGAGTGCTTCTGCTGCAATGATAGTGTCCCGACCTCTGAGCCAAGAAGCCTGGGTTCAAGTCTCAAATGCACTTGGGGGGGGTATTTTAGCATCTCTGAATACATTAATTAGAAAATACATAGCACTGTCCCTTGTCTTTTGCTATGAACACCCTCACCAATATGTTCTGTTTACTCCTCCTCCCTTCCTTCTCATCAGAAAAATACCTTATTTTGCCCCCTTCATTCCCAAAGAAGAGTCACACTAGACTTGAAACATTGACTCTCTCTTTCTCTGTAGATCTGCCGGTTGAGTTTTTGCAGCAGTCTGTATTTTAGCCTGTATCTGGAGTTCTTTTATTGTTGTTAACTTACACTTCCTGGTTTTAGACTCTACATGACTCATTAACCATTCTGATTGTTCTGTTCCCACATGTTTCAGATTCCCTGTGGAGGGAATTATCCTGAAATGTATCTCAATTGTAACCTCGAGTGCGAAAGCCCGTACAAATTTTATGGACAGATGTTCACGTATTCTGTCCCCAAGAAGTGTTGAATAAAATTGAAGTAGTATTTTGCCATTTGTCATAGCTTTTTAACAGACTCTTTATTTGACATAAATTCTATATAATTCTTAAAATATGTACAACTGGACAATGGAAGAAATCAATTATTTTGCTGTGTGGCATACCTGGACGTCACGCCGTTTATTCACTGGCAAAATTGAAAGGAGTTGCTGGAAATGCACAGCATTTGATCAGAGGCATTGAATTCAAAAATAAATAATATAAAAATTACATAAATAATTTACGGCATCTGCAGTTCTCTTGGTTTTTACGTAAATAAATGACATGACCAAAGCTGACATGCATAAGATGCATAATCAAATGACTTTATTCCAGTGACACGCAGAAACAGAAAGAGGGGAAATTCAGCAGGTCTGGTAGGGAAAAAAAAAAGTTTCCAGTTCACTGACACTTCTTCAGAATATACATCTGACGGGGGAAATTCTTCCAGTGGCATGTCACTTTTGCAAATGAAGTGAACGTGTAGAATTTTCATAACCTGTCAAGCACGCCGAGAGGTTTTAACCTTGTTGACAGCCCCAAGGTACACTGTGTTGTGGATGAGAGCAGGAGAGGTCTGGATTCTTTAGGGTGTGGGTTGATTGTTGCCAGTGAGGGGGTAGGGAGTTATCGCGAGATCAGAGAGCGCGAGCGGGCGGGGTGGAGGCTGCGTGGCGGTTCGTGCCTGAAAGGCCTTGACCTCGGACAGCGTGTGGTGGATTCATCGAGCACCCGTTCGAGGTAATCCGCCATGGAAGAGATCAGAGAGGATCCGCAGGCAGAGCAGAACCTGGAAAATACTCAGCACGAAGAAAACGAGATGCCCGTTAAAACGTAATGAACACTCTCGCATCCCGCCGCGGAGTCAGTTCGCGCGAATCTGCGCGGGCCCCCGGTTTCAGGCCTTGCGCCAGACTCTCTGCTCACACCCCGTTCTCCCCGCCGGCCGTCTTTCATTTTAAAACTCTTCTCGTTTGTACCGACCCCTCTGTCCCGCTTGTGTCGGAGCTCCCAAAGCTTGCTGTTGGTCAAGAAACTGGGTTTTTTATTTTAAATATACACCCCGATTACAATTAGCGAGATTTGCTTTGTCGTGCAGTTTGCTCCAGATTTCTGCTGCAACTATTTTCTCGCAGGCTTTCGCCTGAAAATTTGATGTTTTTAACCTTACGTTTTTACGCTATAGTTTATATTGCAACGCATTTTTTTCCCTGTTTGAAGGGGAAGTTGTTGCAGTATGGAAATATGAATTATTTGTGGTTGTTAAAACAGTATGCTGGAAAGGAGTTTTATTTATAGCCTTGTGCAAGGGAATTATTGTCTCTTTGAAAACAGTTAAACGATAACTCTCCAAAGTCGGGGAGAAGAGTTGATGTATTTAGTAGTTCCTAAATTGTACATCACACGACCTAAATCCAAACCTTTCCCGTTTATTTTCGAAATATTTTCCTCTTTATTCTTTTCCTTTTTTCGGAACCTGGGGATTTGCTGCAACTGTTTCATTCATTGTGCATCTAACAAAGAAATGCGCACGTGGTTCTCGGTAAACGTTTTACATATTTAAATATAATTACTATAGAACAAAACTGCCTATTGGAAATAAAGTATTCCTTAGCGTGCACGAAGGCACTTTGACAGTAATATTAGCAGTGAGAACATGCTCCCCAATTGATTGTGGAAAAATATCCCAATGCAAATTGCGATTGCTACGTGGTTTGTACAGTACTTGCGAGGGTAAAAATAGCTTTTATCCAACAGCCAATTTATAGTAATGAATTTAACTGACATATGGTCTCCTTGTTATTTCCATTGAAATGTTGTTTCTTTTTCCAGCTAATAGTAAAACCTGGTGTCAGCAAGCTGCTGGATAATTAATATGTTCCATGGTTTACAGATTTTTCAGTCACCTTTAAATTTTAAAGGTATAATTCAAACTTCAGCGCCCTGCCAAAACAACCAATTTAGTGTAGTCAAAGTGAGCAATCTAAGCTGTGGCATCTTGTTTTTATGAGGCTCAACTTGCTCTTAAAACTTGAGATAATGATGACTGGCTCTAACTCCATCCTGTTGGCACCCCAACAATCTAACCTACAAGATGAAAGCTTAATTCAGTTAATAGCGTTATTCCATGTTAAAAGCTTGTTGGTTCCAGCCCCTTTACAGGATCAGCACAGTCGAGCTGCAGATGTGCTGTATTAGAAGTGCCACATTTGAATGTGAAATTAAATAGAGGATCTGTCATGTGTATTCAAGATCCTACTGTATTATGTGGAGAGTAGAGTTTTGTATTCTGCCTGAATGAATGTTTTATCTGAATCGAGGTAAACTTAATTAAAATTAAAATTTCATATGAGTAGGGTATGATTGTGTTTCCTTTTCTTCTATTCTTTAATGAGAAGTGATGCACCTAGCAAGGCCAGCATTTGATCCCTCCCTAATTGACCTTGAACAAGTAACTTTCTGGGCTTTCTTAGAACATAGTTATGAGTTAAACAGCAGCATTGCAGTTATGTAGGCCAGACAAGATGAGGATGATGGATTGCTTTCTGTTGACATTAATGAACCGGGTGGAATTTTACAACAATCAATGATAGTTATCATTATTTCTGATGAAGGGTCTAGGCCCGAAACGTCAGCCTCTCTGCTCCTATGATGCTGCTTGGCCTGCTGTGTTCATCCAGCCCTGCACCTTGTTGTCTCATTATCACATTACATTTATGTCACCATCCCATTGTCTGTATCCTCTGTGCAGAAGAGGTGGTCCTTGTAGCAATGTCACTAGGCTAGCTAGCCGGAGACCCAGGTCAATCCTGTCAGTTCACGGATTCCTCTGAAATGGCTAAGCAAACCATTCAGTTCAATTAGGATTGGCAAATAAATGCTGGCTTTGCCAGTAACCTCTGAGTCCCTTGAAAATATAAAGGAAAAAAGTTGGAGGAAGTTCACTTGTCCTGATTTGTCTGACCTTCTACTTTCGAATATGCCCTTTCGTTTCATCAAGAAAACTTAGAATGTGTGTTGTGTAGTTTGTGGCCAGAAACCTACTAATTTTTTTCTTCAAACATTGAAGGGATTTGACCTATTAGTTATATGTTTCTTAAGTTTGCTTCCTCAAACAAAATATTGCTATCCTTGCCCATTATTTTGTTAAAAAACAATGACTTTCTTTGGCCCTGTTTTGGCCTGTGGTACACACTTGCAGCCTACAGTTTTAAAATCAAATAGTCTGTCATTGTGCTGGTACAACATGTAATTTTCAATTTACATTTATTTAATGCCTTTAATCCCAAGCCACTTCAAAGAAGACTTATAAAAATATATGATACCATGACGTAGCTGATTTGGTCACCAAAAATGTGGTCAGAGATAGGTTTGTATCAGTGATAAAGGAATAAGGCTAGATAGAAAGCCTTCAACTGAAGGCATGGCCAAGGCAAGCCATTGCAGTGGCACAATTATGACTTAGAATATTTGAGGCTAGAATTTAAGGATATGTCAAAGGATTGTGGAGTTGGAAGAAATCTGAGGTTGAGAAAGGGAATGCCATTGGAGGATTTGAAAACAATTATTAGAATTTTTAAATCAAGGCATTGCTTTACCAGGACCCAGTGTAAGCCTGCTACTACAAGGGTGATAGCAAATGAAATTTTATGCAAATTAACCCACACAACTGAGTTCTTGGTGACCACAAATTGAGAGAGTAGAATGTAGGAGACCAGCCAAGAGTGTGTCAACTCTAGACATAATAAGTGTATCAATGAGGTTTTCAGTAGTAGACGAACTTAAGTCGAGGTGAAGTTGGGAAAGATTGCCTTTTTCCACTTCCGGTAGTCTTGGTGGAAGAAAAATGAAGTCAGCAGTTCATTTCAGAATTAAATGTGACACCATGTTGTGAGCAGACTGGTTTAATCTCTGATTGTTGTTAGGGGGAGGGATGGAGTTAGCAGTTAGAGAACAAAGCTTTGAGTGGGGTCTGTAAACCCTTGGTCCTCTGGCCAGTATTCAATTGAAAGAAATTAAGAAAGCAAATGGTATTTTAGGTTTTGTTACCAAGTGGTTACAGTGCAACAGTGAAGGAGTACTGCTGCAATTATGTGTGGGACTGGAAGGGCCACAACTGGAAAACAATGTACAGTTTGCACTCCTTATCCAAGAAATTTGCCTTTTGAGGGAGTGTAATGTGTGTTGACTAGACTGGTACTTGGAATGCAGAGATTGTTCTATAAGAATGGCAGAGTAGACAAGGATTATGTTCTCTCATTCTGCATATTGATGGGAAATCTGATTGAAATATAAAATTCCTAAAGGGCTCGACAGGGTGCGTACTGGAAAGATGTTTGCCCAGCTCGGGAATCTGAAACTTGGGATCACCACTTCAAAATAAGATGTTAACCATTTGCAACTGATATGAGAATTTTTTTTGATTTAAAGTGTTGTGATCGTTCTTTCCGAATTTTCCAGTATAATGGAGCCATAAATGCTCCATATGCGTAAGACATATTTGGATACTACAAGAATCAAAGGATATAGTGTGGGTTGGTGGAGTTGAGCTAATCAATGGACCATAATCATACAGACCCAAAGGGCAGTATGACCTATCCCTGTTTCTATTTCTTGTATCCTCCAGGCAGTTTTTAAGATTTACTATAATAAAGAAGGGAGGATGATGAAATGAGAGTCGGGGCAAGAACAGGCTGTTAACTCCTGAATCACAAAACTGGTTCCTGGTCTACACTTATTCTATTTGTTGTGGAAGGAATTCATTTCTGTCTGGAACATGTTTGTGTGTTTAATTAGCTTTTTAATGTTGTGTAAAGTTGTAATTTATTTTCATATTGTATGTATAACTAAAATATCTTATTCTTAAATAATTGCTTGGTAGTACAAAAGGTAAACATTACTAAAAAGAGACACAAACTCTAAGATTTTTGTCAAGCACTTTCGCAGAGCGAGTATGCAAGAAATCAGACTTGGTTGGGGAAGACAAAAGGGACACCAATTTATACAGCATGAAAAGAAAGTGATGTTGGTTGGGTTATCACTGGCATGAGGACACAGCAAGGACCGTTCATCTTAATTCTTAGACCAAATAGATTCTGGTCAGGGTGTTGTCATGAGAATGCAACAGATCTTTTTTAGTTCCATGAGAAAAGGTGTATATACAAGCTTCTTTTGGCTACATAAAACAGGAACTATTTTGAATATATGGAATTTCTACTATATGCAAATGCATGACTGTGCAGTGATCTTGAATTTTTTGGTGTAATTCTCAGCACGTCTCATTGATAATTTGCAGCAGAGAGTGTACTGATTGTGTTCAACGAGCCTGTGCTTGCAAACCTGAGAAAAGTATGTCCACCATATGATGTGATTCTGCAATTGGAAATCCTTCATTGAATAATTAGGACTGTGCAAAGAATGAGACCAGCAACCAATTTAAGATCATCAGTGATACATGAAGTATAGCCTTCTTCTGTACCATAAAATTCTATAATCCCATTAAATCTAAACATTCATTCAGCCTGTCCTGATAATTCAGCAAGGAAGCATCTCACTGAGAGAGGAATAAAGTGTCCTTGGGGTAATTCATTTGTGCATGCTTGAAGCTGCACATTTTTTATTCTCTTGTGGAACCTGGGCGTTGCTGGCTGGCCAGCATTTATTGCCTATCCCTAGCTGCCCTTGAGAAGGTAGTGATGAGCTACTGCTGTAATCCATATGTTGCAGGTAGACCCACAATGGCCTTGGGAGGGATTTTGACCAAGTCACAGTGAAGGAACAGTGATATATTTTCAAGTCAGGATGATGATTCATGAGGAGGGGAACTTACAGTTGTTGTGTTCCCATGTAACTGCTGCCCTTGTCCTTCTAGGTGGAAATGGTTGTGGCTTGAAAGGTGCTGTCTAATGATCTTGGGGGAATTTCTGCAGTGCATCTTGTAGATCTTGTAGAGTGTTGGTGGTCGAGGGAGTGGATACTTGTGGATGTGATGCCTGTCAAGCAGGCTACTTTGTCCTAGATGATATTGAGCTTCTTGAGTGTTAGAGCTGCACCCATCCAGGCAAATAGGGAGCACACTGCTGACTTGCGATGCCTTGTAGATGTTGGATAGGTTTTGGGAAGTAAGGAAGTGAGTTATTCGCTGCAGTATTCCTGACCTCTCACCCACTCTCTTAGAGTCATAGAGCCGTACAGCAAAGAAACAGACTCTTCAGTCCAAATTGTCTGCACTGACCAGACATCCCAATCTGCTGTTGTAGCCACCGTGTTTATATGGCGAGTCCAGTTGAGTTTCTGGACAATGGTAACCTTCAGGATGTTGAAAACGGGGGATTAAGTGATGTTAACACCATTGAATGTCAAGGGGTGGTGATTAATTTGTCTCTTATTGGAGATGGTCATTGCCTGGCATTTTTGTGGCACAAATGTTAGTTGCCACTTGTCCACCCAAGCCTGGATATTGTCCAGATTTGAATGTGGACTGCTTCAGTGTCTGAGGAGTCGTGAATGGTGCTGAGCATTGTGTAATCATCTGTAATTATCAGCGAATGTCCCCACTTCTGAACTTGTGATGGACGAAAGGTCATTGAAACGGTTGAAGATGGTAGACTTCTGCTGAGATGATTGATCTCAAACAGCCTCTCTGCTCCTCTGATGCTGCTTGGCCTGCTGTGTTCATCCAGCCCTGCACCTTGTTGTCTCGGATTCTCCAGCATCTGCAGTTCCTACTATCTCTAATAATTTTCCCACATGCCAGGTATGACTCCAACCAGCAGAGAGTTTGCTCCCTGATTCCCACTGATTCCAGTTTGGCAAGGACTCTTTGTTGCACTGTTGAATGCAGCCTTGATGTTAGGGACGGCATCAAGTGGCGGCACGGTGGCTCAGTGGTTAGCGCTGCTGCCTCCTCATAGCGCCAGGGACCCAGGTTCGATTCTACCCTTTGGCAACTGCCTGTGGAGTTTGCGCGTTCTCCCTGTGTCTGTGTGGGTTTCTGCCGGGTTCTCCAGTTTCCCCCCACAGTCCATAGATGTGCAAACTATGTGGATTGGCCATGCTAAATTACCCATAGTGTTCAGCGATTTGGAGGTTAAGTGCATTAGCCATTGGAAAATGCAGGGTTACAGGAATAGGGTAGGTGGATAGGATACTCTTTGGAGAGTTGGTGTGGACACGTTGGGCTGAATGGCCTGTTTCTACACTCTAGGGATTCCAAGGACCACGCTGGAATTCAGCTCTTGTATCCATGTTTGAACCAGGCCTGTAATAAGCTCACAAGCTGGGTGTCACTGAGCAGATTCATGCTAAGCAAGTGCTGCTTGCTAGCACTGTTCATGACCCCTTTCATCACTTTACTGATGATCAAGAGTAGAGTGATGGAACGATAATTGGCTGGGTTGGATTTGCCCTCCTTTT